TATCCTATAAAGTTTTTTTATAGGTTTTTCCTTGTAAAACAATTGGTGTACAGTGAAACCTGTATAGTCCAGGTGTTGTTTAATCTGAAATCTTTCTAATATGATGATAATTTATAATCCCATATTATAATACTTTCAGTTGTTTTAAATGTTGTCTAATCCAAGATGTTGGCTTATCCGGCCAATTTCTTGGGAACCAATGGTGTCCCGATCGAAGACAAGTTTTACTTTATAAGCAAATAAATATCTTATTTAGTATTTGGCTATACTGACTAAGTTCTGTATAATTGTGGTGCCTTACTGTACCGTTGACATACTAGAATTTGTGGGCAAGATAATTTGTCCATATCAGATCAGATTTGATTAACTTTGAATGGTAATTGCTTCATAATGATGTCAATACTTGTCATCTGTGACTAAAAATCATTATCAACAATCCCATAAAATAAAGATTTTTTTCAATGACACATGACATGTATGTAAATAATGGATTTCCTACATTTAAGTACATGTTATTAATTATACATGTCCGTTATAGCGCCAGCATGCATACATGTGAAAAAATTTTAACTTGTCATACATTTCACAAAAATATCAAGAAAATCTTCATGATATTGGTAAAAGAATAAATGCACTGGGCGTCTAATTTCTGCACGAAGAAAAGAAGGGAGAAGACACTGATGTATATATTATTAATTAGGCTTTTTACGCTTCTCCATAAATGTCAGGCCTTTATTAATGATGGCAGATGTTTTGCAGGGTTTGTTTTTGTTAAGGCACATAAATTTACAAAAACCAACTCAATATAACTGACCATTTGAGCCACATACAAATGCTTTGAGTGAGGTATTGGAGAAATTAAAGCTGTAGTTTAGAGGTTTTTTTGGCTGACATGTCGAGTGTCAGTGGGTTTGGAATTGATATCTCCCATGTGCCTTTTGTTTACAGTTATGGATTGACGGACAAAATGAATGAATCAGGGAAAACATGCAAAAACTGGGTGGTCAGGTTCAATCAAAATCATAGACATGCAAAAAAATATAATAAATGTATGTTAAAACCTATCATAGTGGGGGAATATAGATTAAGACCTATCGTTGTAGGGCATTACTGCTAGTGTTTAGTTTGCCCTTGTTTCCAAGCTTACCAGTAAATTGTTCATTTTACAGTGACTGTATGTAGCATTACAGCTATAAAGACAATGGTAAAAGTATCTGATGGTAATTCATGCATTTTTTTTTAAATATAAAAATTAACAAACTTGGTTTCAAATAGTACAGGGGTTAAATTTTCATTGTGTACTTGGCAAAGACACACTGGACCACTACATATATGACTTTAAGTGGGGGTAAGAATGTATAATTCCTTATTTTAATTCTTAGAATTAAGTTTTAACCAACAGGTTAAATCAATGAATATTTAAAGCTTTATGATATAAAATCAGACAAATATACTTTTGTTGATTTATTATTTATTCCAGATATTTAACAAATTTTACATTTTGCCAGATGTGTTTAGTAAATTTTACCCAGTAAAAAAATAGGATGTACCATAAAATATATGAGAATTAGAATTCACTGAAGCAAAACAGTTCAGTTTATAGTTCTATTTTCTTGACATTCTTTAATTAATAAAATAAATGACATGAAAATATTTTTCCTTTGCCGTAGTTAGAGGGGACACTTTCATTTTTCTTTCTCCGTAATTTTATTGCTTTGCAACAGAAGCCATTGTCCTAGTCGTACATTAATTAACTATATTATTTATGAAATATTGTTAATACACAGTTTTGTTTAATAGCAGAAATTTACATGTAAAGGAATGTGCCAAGTTTATAAATTATTAAAAGTGCATTTTATATAGGTTTATTACTATTTCTAGAAATGCATATGAAAAATAAATAGATAGAGAGCCTATTATACAAACTTTCTGGCACCATTGATTCTTTGTCTTCATTATGATGGAACTTAATTGAATATCTGCCTTGTAAGTTATTACCGATATATATAGAGACTCAGTTTTTCAAAGTGAATTTTTTTCAATTTTTGTTCCATTCATTTGATTGGAAAAAAAGTGAGAATTCATTTGCAAGTATTTCTTTTTGAAGATTTCAGTTGTATAGTTGATATATTTAAAAAAAAAAATGCTAGAAGATGAAAAAATGCTGGAATTTCAATAAATCTGATTAAAATAACTGTATCAATTCATCAAGAAATTCATCATTGATATCACATCTAAGGGTGTGAACAGAAAGGAGACAAGTTTATCAGAGAGATTGGAGAAGATAGATTAATCAGCTACACAAAGCCAATGAGTTCTGACAAAGCCACGATTTCCTTGGTGGTGGACGAAGGAATTCAACCCCTGTCAAATCATGATGAACTGCAGAGTCTGAATGCGGCCATGGAGGGATCCTCTATATAAATGGGGGGAACAGAATTGGGTGAAAAGGGGGTACCATTAATATAAACATTTGGCCTGTTCTCTATGAACCTTTGTTCAGTGGGTACAAGATTTCTGAGTTAGATTTTGAAGTCTAGTTGGGCTTTGGTCAGAAAGACATGGAGAGGAAAGGGGGAGGGGGGGTTATTAAATTACATTTCAATTGGTGTTGGTTTGTTTATGGTTTAAAATTATAGGGTATTCAATTTATTGTGCTGATGTACTATTTTGAAAGAGTACTTGCATGTACATTTATAGTAAGAAATTATACTCCATATGTTACATTTTTTGGCTTTTAAGAGTATATGTTTAGAATAGGAAAATCATTGTAAATGTTAAACTTGAAATGATTTGATAAATGGCTTTAATATATGTGAAAATAGGCAGGAATTCTTATAGAATATATATTTTATAAGGATGTAGCTCAGTTATATAAATCCACAAGTACTTATATGTGTTTATTAGTACTTAACATTTTGGCTCAAGGACGTTAGGAGGAAGGTATTATTTAATTTTTTAATAAGTGCCTCACTTATCGGCACGTTTCCATCTTTTCCTTTTGTATAAAATACAATAGATATATGAGTAAAACAATGAAGAGTGCTTGTTAAGGAAATTTTACTTCTTGAATTGGGAGAATTTTCCTGGAGTTATATAAAAGGGTTGACCTTCATCTATCTCGTTCATGCAACTCTTAGCATATAACAGCTACATACTTGCAACTTAAATTTCCTAAAATGTATGGTAAACATCTAACTTTAAAATGAGGAAAAGATATGCATATTTCATTTTAAAAAATGACATTTCAGTTTTAATATATGCCACTTTTAAAATAAAAACAATTGCATGCTATGCCAACTGAATGTGGAATTAATTTTAAAATTTGCATTTGGGAGACTGCTAGATCTGTAACTGAAATCATAGCTCTATAGTCAGATAAAAAAAAAATCAATCTGTCATTGATAAAGCCAAGTTTTTATATAGGCATAATTGCATCAAACACGCTTATCACACATTCCAAAAAAAATATAATTCTTCTCGTTTTATAACCAAATAATGCTGTATTAATAGAATTAATTATGTAGATTTGGTAATATATTTATCCTTTATTTTTTGTTGAGCCCACACAGGTAAATTTAAATGGTTCTTGTTTCACGCCTGGTTGAATTCTGAAATCTTTTTGCCTGGATGAACCTTGGCTTTGGTTAACATAGATGTACTATGGTCAAAGAGAGATAACTCTTGTTTTTATATACAGGGTGGCTCAAAACTTTTTGCCTGCATGAGATTTTTTTTTTTTACAACTTACATAGTAGCGGTTCAGTAAAGAGTACTAGGTTTGTTGGTTTGGAGAATCAAGGTCTTGTAATGAATTGTCAGTAAAGTTTATGAAATATATAAGTTTTCTGACTCAAAGTTAGTTTGATAAAAATATAAATATACTGACTGATTGATCTTCTTTACTTTTTAATTCCCAGCGGTATAAAGTCATTAAAATCAATGTAAGATTACTTGTAAGGTGATAACCAGAAATGTTATTCCTGACTAAATTTACAGTCTTATTTGTCACTATGGACTTTCCATGTGTAGAAAATTATCCAAGGATCTGATCAAATATTCACTGAAAGATAACAGAGTACAAACATTGATGGCCAAGATGGTAATTATTTAAGCACCAGTAAATGAGTTAGGGTATAGTGTGCTCAAATTCGTTTAGCCACAAAAGTTTTTTTTCTTCACTTGTGTTCTGTAATTATACTTCATAGCTTTTATGTTGCATCACTAAATAAAATTACAAAGCATGCAGTTGGCATGAATTGCATCAGGAGGGAATGTTTATAACTACACTGATTTCTACCCTGGGAATGAAATCAGAATCATTTGACAAGTTGTCTTTTTCAGTTCTCACTTTTGTAGCTATAAAAATGATTGACCAAATCCACATTCCACATTTCCTTAAGGATTGTGTAAGTTTCAGAGATGAGTTTTTTTTTTTTTTCAATGGTGCATTTAGTGGAATATGGTTCATAAATAATTGAAGAGTTGCCATAGATTTTCAAAATGATTTTGGCAACTTTTTATCAGGAAGGGGAAGGGGGAATTGGAGTTAATGCCTTCATCTTACAAAACACACGTTACCATACCATATACAACTTTTTGGAAAGATGTTTTCTCAGTAGTATTTAGTAAGACAAGTCAACGGAAAAAGTTTTAAGGGCTGGTGATCTAACTGAATGGCTATCCCTCCCTAATGTACCCTAGAGGTACCAGGGCTTTACAATAAACACTTGAGATACAGATCATATTGAGTGACTCCATGTTCTGAGTCTCAGGCTTCAAAGTCAGTGGAAGGAGTTACACATTAACAAAAAACTATTGGGAAGTTGTGCTCAATATTTACTAGCCTGTGTGGGCATGGGGTATAATTTTTCCATGTTTGGTATTATATTTCCATTGATTTCATCAAATTGAGAACTGTTATCCTAGTACATAAAAATATTAAAACTAGTATTTTTTTCACTTAAATGTGATCTTTATAATTTTTTTTCTCTTTTCAGGAAAGGTCACCTACCCGATCAAACAAAAAGTGCACTTAGGTATGTGTAATTTAATTAAATATTACAATGTATAATTATGCACAGTTATACATAATGTAAATTCCTAAATATACGCGTGGAATTAAATATCGCGTAATTTCGCAAGAAGCACCACACGCGGAAAAAAATTACTCGCCCTTATTTTTATGATGCTCAAATTTATGCAAAATCTCTTGATCAACCGTACAAGAATATTAATTTTTGACATTTTCACAGTATTCGTTACTGAAAGATGTAAATTTTGGATATTTTCACAAAGTTTCCTCTATTTCAAGTTTCCTTTTGGGTAAAGAAGAACTGCCAATCACAGAAAGAAGGGAGGAGCCAAATCACAGACACCATGGCAACAAACTTCTTTGCAAATTAAAACAGAATCAAACCTTCCAGATCATTAATAAATGGCTACAGACCACACCCAAACAAACCCTCTGTCAACACAGTTATGGATGTGCTCATTATGTAGTACAGGTCAGTCAAGGTCAAAGGTTAAATTTGCAAATGACCTACATTACAGGTCAAGGTTATAACCAGTGGCAACATATAATATCAAAATGTCTTACATGTACATTTTTTGCTCAAATACTGCATCAGTCAATATTAGGAATAAAGGGTATTGAACTCGTAATTTATACATTTTATCATATTTATTATCTTGCAGGGATTTGTGAAGATGTTTGGACTAGGCTTTTTGGTACAAGGAGGAGTTAAAGTTTTGGGTGCCTTGCCCAGGATTTACAAGAATCCAGGAGCTGTGCTTCATGCCTTAAAACATCAGGATAACTTTAGGCTGGGGGCATTCTTAGGATGTTTTAGTGCCATCTTCAAGGTGAACATTCATTTTTTTTCTTATAATTTTTTTACAACTTGAGGTACTTTCTGTAATTCATATTTTTAAATTTCAATAAACAGATTGTAAACAAATCTTACTTATTTCCATGTCCCTTACATTGCGGAATTTAACACCCTGATTATTCAAAAAAAAAATTGCTGTTGTAATCAGGTTTCACTGTATTTTACTATAAAAAAAAAAAGAAACATTTTTCAGTGATTTCTACTATAAATTCTATTCTTTTTTGTTTCAGTGTGTGAATTGTTTAATGCGATGGATGCGTAATAAAGATAGTGAAATGTATGGACTTTTAGCAGGCTTTCTGGCAGGCTGGTCTATGTTGTGGTACAAAAGTTCTACCATAGCATTGTATACTGCCTATAAATTAGCAGAGGTGAGAGATTCTGTTAGAAAAGAAAGCTTATTTGTGTAGAGTACTTTAATGCTCATCATTTATATAGGACAAAAAAGTGCACATGAGATTACAGTGAGATCAGTTTTTAGACACTGATGTGCTAGATATCACAAAGAGATCATATGCAGATTAATACTGCTCATTGAAATAATTCACCGATATAAGGCATTAATGATGACATGAATCATTTTTAGCTCACCTGAGCCGAAGGCTCAAGTGAGCTTTTCTGATCACATTTTGTCCGGCGTCCGTCTGTCTAGCTGTCTGTCTGTCCGTCTGTCTGTCTGTAAACTTTTCACATTTTCGACTTCTTCTCAAGAACCGCTGGGCCAATTTCAACCAAACTTGCCACAAAGTATCCTTGGGTGAAGGGGATTCAAGTTTGTTCAAAAGAAGGGCCACGCCCTTATTCAAGGGGAGATAATTGGGAATTAATGAAAATTTAGTGGTATATTTTAAAAATCTTCTTCTCAAGAACCACTGTGCCAGAAAAGATGAAACTTATGGGGAAACATCCTCAGGTAGTGTAGATTCAAGTTTGTTCAAATCATGACCCCCGGGGGTAGGGCGGGGCCAAAATGGCCGACCAAAGTTTTACATAGAAATATATAGGAAAACTCTTTAAAAATCTTCTTCTCAAGAATGACAAAGCCATAATTCATCATATTTATATGGGAGCATGCTCATGTAGTGTAGATTCAAGTTTGTTCAAATCATGACCCCCTGGGTAAGGGCGGGGCCAAAATGGCCGACCAAAGTTTTACATAGAAATATATAGGAAAATTCTTTAAAAATCTTCTTCTCAAGAATGACAAAGCCATAATTCATCATATTTATATGGAAGCATGCTCAGGTAGTGTAGATTCAAGTTTGTTCAAATCATGACCCCCGGGGGTAGGGCGGGGCCAAAATGGCCGACCAAAGTTTTACCTAGAAATATATAGGAAAACTCTTTAAAAATCTTCTTCTCAAGAATGACAAAGCCATAATTCATCATATTTATATGGGAGCATGCTCATGTAGTGTAGATTCAAGTTTGTTCAAATCATGACCCCCGGGGTAAGGGCGGGGCCAAAATGGCCGACCAAAGTTTTACATAGAAATATATAGGAAGATTCTTTAAAAATCTTCTTCTCAAGAATGACAGAGCCATAATTCATCATATTTATATGGAAGCATGCTCAGCTAGTGTAGATTCAATTTTGTTCAAATCATGACCCCCGGGGGTAGAGCGGGCCAAAATGGCCGACCAAAGTTTTACCTAGAAATATATAGGAAAATTCTTTAAAAATCTTCTTCTCAAGAATGACAAAGCCATAATTCATCATATTTATATGGAAACATGCTCAGGTAGTGTAGATTCAAGTTTGTTCAAATCATGACCCCCGGGGGTAGAGCGGGGCCAAAATGGCCGACCAAAGTTTAACATAGAAATATATAGAAAATTTTTTTAAAAATCTTCTTCTCAAGAACGACAAAGCCATAATTCATCATATTTATATGGAAGCATGCTCAGGTAGTGTAGATTCAAGTTAGTTTAAATCATGACCCCCGGGGGTAGGGCGGGGCCAAAATGGCCGACCAAGGTTTTACATAGAGATATATAGGAAAATTCTTTAAAAATCTTCTTCTCAAGAATGACAAAGCCATTAATCATCATATTTATATGGAAGCATGTTCAGGTAGTGTATAGGAAAATTCTTTAAAAATCTTCTTCTCAATCATTTTCTAAAACATAGCAAATCCATGATTGGTCATGGGAATACTATTGGATTTACACTTTACAATAAAAAGCCATTTTATACTAGTCCTACCCTTGGTGCTCAGGTGAGCGATGTGGCCCATGGGCCTCTTGTCAGATAGACCATTGAGGATAAAATCAAATTGGATTTTAAATGGCGATATATTAAAGATTTTCAGTATAACGTGTAAATTTTATGCTTTTCCATAGAAGAAGCCATTGCTTAGATCTTTTTAAGGGAATTTTTTGCAAGGAAGCTGTTGAGATGTGTTCTCTTGTTTTTTAGTAGAATGGACAATTTAAGAATCAAATCTGATTATTTTATTAGGTGCTGTATTTCAAGGGTATCAGTAGAGGATTTTTTCCCTATATACGATGTGCTGACATTATTATTTATTCCATATCAACTGCTTTTGTCTTTCATGTAGTAAGTATCATTTTGAATATTAAAAAGTACATTGTATTTTTATAAAACTTAGTACATTTTGTTTGAAAAACAGAACTGTTATTAGTTAAACGTGTATAAATAATTTACTCCTATAAGTGATCAGGGTGCATGGAAATTGAGCAAAAGGGGAAGGGGTTATTTTCAAAGGTTGTGTTTCTTTTCTTGATTGTTTATTTTATTAGGTCACCTGAGTAACTCAGGTGACCTATTGCTATCCGTTTTCGTCCGTCGTGCGTCGTGTGTCGTGTATTAACATTTGAACAATTTCAGCTTCTTCTCTGAAACCACTGAACCAATTTCAACCAAATTTGGTATACAGCATCTATGGGTGGAGGGGAACAAAAATTGTGAATTTCATGGTCCCCGCCCCCCTGGGGCCTGAGGGGTGGGGCCAAAACCACTAAAATTAATGCAGTCTTTAAAAATCTTCTTTACTCCTGGACATCAAGCAGGCAAACTGTTGGCATGAATGTAATGAGCATTAAGTCCTCTACTAAAATTGTGAAATTCATGGCCCCGGGGTCAGGGGTTCTAGTGCTAGGGCGGGGCTCTATAGATAATATAGTGAAAATGCATTATTTCTTTGAAAATCTTCTTCTCTGCTCCTGGGTATTAAATAAACTAACTAAGCACATAGTTATGATGAGCAAGAATGCCTCTTCCAGATTTGTGAATTTTATGGCCCCGGGGTCAGAAGTTCTGGTGTTAGGGCGGGGCTCTATTGATTATATTGTGAAAATGCATTATTTCTTTGAGAATCTTCTGCTCTGCTCCTGGGTATTTAATTAACTAACTAAGCACAAAGTTATGATGAGCAAGAGTGCCTCTTCCAGATTTGTGAATTTTATGACCCCAGGGTCAGGGGTTCTGGTGTTAGAGCGGGGCTCTATTGATTATATAGTAAAAATGCATTTATTCTTTGAAAATCTTCTTCTCTGCCTCTGGGTATTAAATAAACTAACTAAGCACATAGTTATGATAAGCAAGAGTGCTTTTTCCAAAATTGTGAATTTTATGGCCCCCGGGTCAGGGGTTCTGGTGTTAGGGCGGGGCTTTATTGATTATATAGTGAAAATGCATTAATTCTTTGAAAATCTTCTTCTCTGCTTTTGTGTATTAAATAAACTAACTAAGTACATAGTTATGATGAGCAAGAGTGCCTCTTCCAAAATTGTGAATTTTATGGCCCCAGGGTCAGGGGTTCTGTTGTTACGGCAGGGCTCTTTTGATTATATAGTTAAAATTCATTATTCTTTGAAAATCTTCTTCTCTGCTTTATTAAATAAACTGACTAAGCACATAGTTATGATGAGCAAGAGTGCCTCTTCTAAAATTGTGAATTTTATGGCCCCAGGGTTAGGGGTTCTGGTGTTAGAGTGGGGCTCTATTGATTATATAGTAAAAATACATTAATTCTTTGAAACTATTTTCCTTTGCTTCTGGGTTTTATGCCAATGATCCAAGTATATATATATATTTATGATGAAGAAAGGTGCATCAAGCAAAGTGGTTTTTTATGCCTCCAGGGTCAGAAGGGGGGGGGGGGGTTACATAGTCTGAAAATAAATTAATGCTTTGAAATCTGCTCTTTGGTATTAATCAACCATTTTATGATAACATTTGCAAAATTTTGAAATATGTAGCCCATTGGTCAGCGGTTCCTTTAGGGTGAGTAGCACAACTGGGTATAAAGTGGAAGTGCATTTTCTCTTTGTTACTCTGATCTATCTCTGGGTATTAAGTAAATAAGCAATGGTGCCTCTTTCAAAATTGTAAATTGTGAATTTCATGGCCTCTGGTTTAAAACACGAACCAAATTTAATTGTTTGAAAGTTGTTACACAATACTCAGGTGACCTATAAGGCCCGTGGGCCTCTTGTTTTATTTGACATTAGAAAAATAGTTTTTAAAATGTTTTATTTTTTCAGGCTGTTCTTGAACCACATAATTTAAGACCAGCATATTGGACCTTCTTGCTCAAAGTTACAGGAAATAAGTAAGGATTGTGTTTTACAGTATATAGTAACCTAAGAAATGAAATATAAAGAGATCATTGTTTGTCTGTATAACCTGTCAGCTTTTGTTTGTGTAATTCTGGTCATTAAGACAGGTGCTGTATGCAGCCTGTTGATTTATTTTTGTGGATATATTTTGTAGTTCCCATTGACAGTTTGAAAACTCACTTCTAATCATACTTAGACTTCTCTTCATTCCACAGAAGTCCAAGTACTATTAAAAGTGAGTTTTCAAATACCTTCTACTAACTTTCTCATAGATTTTGTTTGAATTGACAGGTTTAGTTTGATGAATAGAAAGCTCTTGGAGCCCTTGTATAAGGATGCAGCTAAAATTGCCCCGGACTTTTGGCCGGATTATGACATGAGGTATACCAACCTTACCAGAGACACAGTGCTACACAAAAGTTGATGCTAGAGTGCCATGTCGACAGAACTGCTCAAAAGTTTGAATGGAATGGTGTGATACATGTATACTATTACAGTTCATCAATATCCATTTCTAAGTTAACCAGTATTGTTCATGACTGTATGAACTACAGAAATCTACATTATCTTTTATGAAAATGGAGAAATGAGTCAAATTATCAACTTTTCAATCATAACAATTATGTTCCCCAGAACAAAGAAAAAAAATCATGTTAAGAATTGTTTTCTTAATGATGTAAAAGGTGTATATGTGTAGAAGATCTCATGTGTTTACATTGGTATTGAATGTTTGCATTTTCTGAATGCAATCACACATGTTTCATTTCTTTTCTGTAATGTCTGATTTGTTTTTCGTTTTTAAATTGTCCATCTTTCTGTTTGTGAATTTTGTTTTTGTGTTGGTTCATTCTATAAGAGTCGTGCATGTATTAATAGTTATGTGATCCATATGTTTTGTATATGATACAATCCATGATTTCATTATGAAGTAATGTATTCCATTTCTCAGGAAACCTAGTTTTGTGATGAGGCAAGATTACGTAAAAATTGGGAGAAATTTCCACAAAGGTTTATCTGTACGACAATGTTTACTTATTATAATAGTTTTAAACAACCATAGTCTAATTGAATTTTTAGCTATATGAATTGGAAACAGGAGAAAAAAATGTTATTACTGAAGAATTTTTTATTTTGAAAAATAAATGGTCTAAGCATTTTTTAGGAAGATGATATGAACCAATTTTATTTTTTGATATAGAAGAATACATTGTGATGTGGAACATTATGCAAACTGAATACCAAGTACATGTCCTCTGTGATATATTATGTGACAAATTTATTTTATATTTTTTTGAGATTAAATTCTGCAATGTCTATACTGGATTTGCTTTGGTGTATACTTGTATCTAGTCTATCAAGCCAAAAGGTTGGAGACATATTTCTCCAGATCCACCGTGCCATTGTCAGCTATTTTTGCCATATGGCATCTTTGTGTAAAGATGATTGTTATACATTTCTATGAAGGGCTAATTCTCTTTTGATTGATTGTATATTGTTTAACGTCCCTCTCGAGAATTTTTCACTCATATGGAGACGTCACTGTATGCCGGTGAAGGGTTTCAAATTTTTTACCTTTTTTAGGCCCTCAGGGCCACTGAGCAGTAAGGGATCTTTATCGTGCCAACGCCTGCCGCTGATTGCTACCCTTTTTATCGACTGGGTCAGTCATGGCCGAGATACGAACTCACGACCTCCCGATCACGAAACGAGCGCTCTACCGACTGAGCTACCGTGAACGGTAATTCTCATTTGAAGAGGAGGGAATAATGAACCATTAGGAGGTTCCTTGTTGCAGTAGGTCCTGGCACCGAAAAGATCCCTCCCTGCTCAATGGCCCAGAGTGCCGAGTATAGGACCAAATTTGCAGCTCTCCAACAGCAAATGGTGGCATCTCCATATGAGTGAAAAATTCTTGAGAGGGACGTTAAACAACATACAATCAATCAATCTTGACCAGAGGTAAATGTCGATTTTAATCTCTGTATGAACTATGAAGTCCTTATCATTAGCATATTTTCTCTCAACTTGGCACCATGTTGCTCATTTTTCACTGAAAAGGGGTGTCCATGCATAAGTAAAGTGCAAGTCAAAGATCACTATAAAACTTCAATTTCCCCACCTCTGTCGATTTTTCCGTGAAATCCTGGCTTACGATTGGTTGAAGTCTGTCACGTGAAGATGGTGGATTACTTATACCTGGTCAGTTGTAAATCTATACCCGGTCGATGTATTATGTCACAAACACAAACGTGACGTCATAATAGGCATAGCATAAGCGTGATGAAGCATTTAGCATAGAAAACCATTTATAAACTACAGACAAAACGTAAATGTTTCATCGGTGGGGTAAATTCGTTACATAGTCTTTTAGTGACAGGGTATGGGATGATACCTGGTTAGTAAATTTCATACCTGACTCGGCTCCGCCTCGCCAGGTATGAAATTTACTAACTAGGTATCATCCCATACCCTGTCACTAAAAGACTATGTAACTAATAATACAATCCTTTACAGGTCCCTTTCATCTTAAAATCTCAACAAAGTGTAGTTACGTATCAGGAAATAGGGATGTGTGTTGCCAAAAATTTCGTATTGAGATATATCATGATTTTTTCCCCCAAAATATCAAGATAATATCATGGTATTTTTACAAGCAATTTTTAAAATGATTTTAAATGAATAGTCATTATTTTTCTAAAAAAAATGTTAGAAAAACAAAATTTTACTATTTTTAGATTTTTATGTACATAAAATTAATCATGTTTGGATGGTAAGATGCCGTTCTTTTCACCTTTTACATTTTTTAGACTTTCTGTGAGTGAAATTTGAAATATTAAACAAATAATGAATAATTCCTGGACTTTATAATATGTACCTAAATACCGTTATTTTGCTCTCCGTATCACGATACATATTATTCAACAAAAAATCGCGATCAAATTCTGGTAGACACAGAGAGTTGACTGGGAAACTTCACAAGAAAACAAAGTAACAAATATTAATTGTTTCATATTTTAATTTCTATGTGAAAATGCTCATGTAAAAAGTGCAGTTCTGGTCTATAAAAAATAATTCACAATTCTACACATAATCCAACAGAAATGATAAAACACACAGGGGTGCAGACACTTCTGTATAGATGACTAGTGGGTAGCACCACCAAACAGCATGGGGAACGTACAACATACAGGCTTACCGAATTTTCTGTTTTGTATAAAAATATTCATAATAGAAACTAACCTTACATTCACACATGAAAAAATGTCGAAATTGAAGTAAAAAATATATAATTGTTTCAAAATTTCATTGTTTCAAGATTAAAATAAACCTAAGTGGTCAAAAATTGATATGTATGTCAAAGATTGAAGGTAAGAAAGACACACAAAAATCCACTAAATTTTTAGTTTTGTCTAACATAGACATGTTGGCATCTAAAAAAATATATATAATGCTGGACTGTCTACAGGCACTCAAATATATACAATCTTGTAAACAATAAGACTTCAAAATCTCATCCAAATAAACTAATAACAATCCTTTGTAATAGTAAATGGTGAAAAAAATTGAAATGTTCAATTCGTAAATGGATTCAACATTAATAATTTTCTTAAACAAAGAGTAAAAATCTAAAAATAATAATAATCTGAGGGGTATCACAGATGCCAGTATCATATCTAAAAATAATTAACTCTGAACATAAAAATAGCATCATAGAATGTCAGGCACAGTGATTTCAAAAGGCACATATTCCTCCCTAAATGCAGTTCTTAAATCTAGTTAAAAAATATAGCACTTCTAAAAAAAATTAAATGCAATATTTTGTCCTCCACTAAAGCTCCCTATGAAGCCCCTACAGGTATAGAGGGGGACTCGTTAGATGGCACCCAGTTTTTGAGAGTCAATTGCTCCGTTTCCTCAGGAATGGTCTGAATTCCGATGGTCTTAGGCTCTGAGTATGAGGAGGGGACTTCCCGTGGAGGGATTTTAAATGGGGGGACTTCTTTATACATTCGCTTCTTCTGGGTCTGCATCTCGACCTCCACCTGGGTTCTGTTCCTCTGTGCCTTGGACCACTCCTCAAAATCTAGCTGGCTTTGATTGAACGTGCCATGCATTCTTCGTCTACAAAAGTATAAAAATAGTGATATACACTGTAGTACATTTACATTTATTAATTTGCCATAAAAATCATTACCCTTGCTAGTGTAACAAAATGCAGGATTTGTGATAATGAATGATTTATAAGAAGAATTTATATGTGACAATAAATTTTCAGCATATATTTTACATGTTGAATATAAAATATAAATATTTTATATATATTTAATAATGAATGACCTACAGGATTCTTAGGATTCTCAACAACAGAATTTGTGAATTATTCTTTAATCAAATTTTTTTTCAAGTTTTGGATTCCAAGTGTAATATCTCCTTTAAAGAGAAAACGTATATATATATAATAGGAATGTCAGTTAGTTAAAGCAAATAAGCTTTATTGTGAATGCAGGACCATTATTAGAAATCAGGATATAAACATGCATTAGCATTTAACTGGATGGTACTAATTAGTGATAAATTTGGGTTTAGAATCCAGACAGACTGAGAATGGTGATTACATGTATTAATATAGACAACAGAAATTTATTACATATGCTGCAAAAAATTTCATATCTTTGATACCATTCTCTCTAGATACATAATAATGTATAATTTTTTTTTTTAAATACATAACCAATTTTACAAGTTTTCAAAATATATTTGGCAACTCATTTGGCTCATGATATTTCTAAACTACATGTTAAAATAGAATTTAATTAGTATTCTGTATGCTACTTAGCTCTTTCCTTGATATTATTGAACATTAATTTCTATCTACAAATTTGATGATTATAGGCATTGACATAGCTAGATGACATGTACACAAATCATGAACATAAATGCACATTTCATTACCAAATCAGAATAAAACTAAACAGAAAAAAAACATTCCAAATAAACTTAATTATAACTACCATGGCCAGAAACTAGTTCATATACAAAGCACAATTTGTGCATATCATCAGTCACTAGTCTATTATTATAAAAAATATGAAAATACACGTATTTACATGTAGGTGTCAACCCTTTCTTACCAGTAGACATCTCACGTTTTATACTGATTTACTGGGAGATATGAGTATGCATGGATATGCTATACTGAAATTGGAATATACTGCAGGAAATGGAAATGGTGCAGGTCTTTTGATCATGCAAATAATATGATTCAACACATGCTGGGAGGAAAATTTGACTTCTTGTGGTATCTTTTATTTGGTCTGACCAAACTTTCAAATCTTAAAATTATATGGCTAAATAGAGTCTATGACTTCTATGACTGTTAAGAGATTCACATTTATTAAAAGATGATTTCAATAACCTTAATCAAAGTTAAAATTACAGAGATCTGTTACAATAATATATCTGTAATATTTAAACTACATGTATAAAGTTCTTAAAACTTATTATAACTAGCGGATAAAATTGTTAAACACTTTTCCCCAATGTTAGTGAATTCTATTAAAATAAAACAACCGGAGTAAACAATAAATATAAGGTTGGAACTGAGGAGGGAGGTAACTCGGAATAATTCCAATAACATGTAAACCAGACCAGGTCTAGAAACTAGGGCTACTTCCTGTAACTTACCATTCTCAACTTTAATGGGACAGTACTAAATAAATGGACATGAAAATTAGCAACACAATATTTGTAAATGTATATAAATACATTACTCAAGCAACAAAAATAATATAATGACTCAAGGGAGAGCATAAATGTGACATACATAAAGATATACCGGTAGCAGGGAAAGAGAATGGAATACATATTTCTAATAAACTGATCAAATAAATTTTTAATGAACAACAGAATTGAAAATTTTTCATGATTTACCATTATGCTAATTCTAGGTGACATGAAATGTGTGTGTTATCACATGACGGTCATGTGACAGGCTGTAGTGATACATGTACTATATATAGCTTGCAGTGATATAAAAGCTGTCCTAATCTACCCTAACCTATTTATAGACTTACTGAAACTCCCCCAAGCATGCATTCTGCCTCTATATCAATCAACAGATTGTCAGTTACATTTATCATGCATTATATAATAAATTTTAAATTATTTGATTATTATTCATGCATTAAATTATCATTTTAGCCTATTACATGCATTTTACTGATATCATCATTATTATTTTCAATTGTTAAAATAATGTCACTTATATATTTAACTAATGTAATTTCTTATTTAAATAATATGCTAGAATATATTCTACCTTAAAACAATGTAATATGATTTTTTATTTCTTATCCCTAAAATAAAATCATTAATTTAATTCATTTTCACTTTGAAGTCCTAGATAGTTTTAGTACATGCACACAAGACAGACATGCAGAAAAATTATCACAGAGCAATCAAGGAGTACACCCAAAGCAAAGGTCATCTCTCGGCAAGGTTATCTGTGTCAAAGTGAGTTGCCCTTAACCCGACACACTTCATTGATTGTCACGCTTGACTGAACACTAACCTGCTGGCCATCCGTGGTGTGCTCTCGATATTGTGGAGGGGCATTTCTAGCCACCTGATACTGTCTGTACCGTGGCGCCCGAGCGGGACCAGGGGTAGGGGAGGTAACTTGACCTGCTCAATGTCCTTGTCGGTGTAATCATGCCCTGTCATACATCTTAGAATCGTTCTCTCCTCGGCACTGCGCTCGCGGCCCTGAGATAATAGGGGGTCACGGAAAGCCTTGGTGGCAATCTACAATGAAATCTTATTATGATAGTATCAAACAATAATTATCATGTACACACACATTTAAAAAAAATTAATTACTTTCACAAATAAATGAATAAGTCAGTTTTTATGACAACAAGTGTTAAAGGACATTATAAAATACATGTATAACCTTCACCAAAATCAGAGTCAAACAATATCATTGTTTTTTTAAATAGTCACATTATAAAGCATCATTCACCCTTGTTATAATTAAAAAGTTATCTCCCTTTACTAAGCTACAAATCACATGTATTATATTTCATTTAGAAAGATACAATGTTTTACAATGACTATACCAATTAGACAGGAATTCTTTGGAGACTCAGTTGAACTTGGTTACTGAAAACCCTGTCTAAATATTTATTTAGTTAAGGTAAATTAGATTTATAAATGCACCATTTTTAACTGACAACAAATTTGTATATCCCTCTACCATTGTTATGAACTACACACAGATAGGTTTTAGTGTCAATGGTTACTAAGGTGTTTGGTTTCCATGGTTTCAGTGTAACCATGGATACAGCAGGTGAGAGTAACATTACCTGTGCTGGTGCTGTGACTGGTCTTTTATCAGGGACATTATAAACTACCTGTATTTTGCATAAAGTCTCACATTAATACACATAACTTCAAAAATACAGTGCATGTACACAGCCTCATGTCCTTAAGCCATGCCTTAATACATACAGCCTTACCTGTGATAGGTCAACTTCAGAACGCAAGGAAAATCATGATAAAGTTAGATATCTCACATCATACAAATTGTGTGCCATATCAATAAAACATAGATGTGTTTATGGGGGGTGTAATGTGTCAATATTTGCCCTTTTTTTGTCTCATTGTTTAGAAAAGTTAAAACTCAATGAAGTAATCACACTGTGTATGGTCTTCCAAAATTTTAAAGAGGATTCAAAAATGCCATTAAAAGGGACTTTGAGAGGCATAAAGACAGAATCTAGCAAAGTCTAAGGGAAAACACGGGATAACACAAGAAGAAATGATCACACATTTTCTTTTGCAAAAACAATTAATTTGTGTCTTCACTAGCAAATTCAAAAAATAAATTCAAGTGCCAGTCAATAGACCAATTAGAGTTGCCATGTTGAAAACCTCATATATCTGTCAATGCTTTTATTCACTGATTGCATCTACAAGAGTCATGCTTGAAGGAAACATTTTTGTCTGTGGAATTATAGTTTTGTATCTAAAAATGATTTCAAAGGAACCTATGTCAGCAATCAATGAATAAAGTGACCAAAAAAGGTTTCCATGACTACCTTGTAATGTTGATGATCAAACCGTTGCTTAGCAGCAGCCATATGCTTGCTCCATTTGAGACAAGAATGCTGATTGGTTACAGGAAATGAAGAGGATGTACTATATAATCTAGAGGCATGGTTTTTTTTTTTTATACAACCAAAGTAAGGAGAAGCAAGACAGATCTTTTATGTGTAAAAACTATAATGTTATCTACTAATCTGCCTTTTAACAACAACAAAAAATAATAGAAACATTTCTGGAAATTCAATGCAGATTACTAAAACTATATATTGTGTATGCATAGATATAGAGCAAGACAAAATAAAAGGATTTATACACAAGATTGGGGTATTTACTGCATGTTTTCAATTATAAATGCTAAAATCAAGAATTAAAATCCAAGGTAGGGTAAAGCAATAGAAATCTGACATAGTATATACATCTACTACACATGTATAGTTTGGGAAGTATTGACTACTGGTATACAACCATACAAATGTTTACCTTTCTCTCACAAAAGTAAACCTAAATAAAAATTCTTGTTTCTTTTATTTTCTCTTGATAAATTCTTGAGATTATACACAGTTAAATATTATACACAGTTAAATAAAAATACGTTTTGAAATCAGAGTTTTTTTTTGAATTATGAGACTATGAGTTATCTCACCTTGATTGGAGCTGGTCTGTGGCCATTTAAAGCCTGGGCATAATACTCTGCAGGATCCATTGTATCTAAAAATACATGACCCTGCAAACAAATATACATACAGGATTTATTGATTTTGTCTGTTAAAAACAGCACTATTTCATACTTTCAATATAAGAAAAAAAAATTGCTTAATTTTTTAATTCAAACATTTTTTCAATCCCCCTTTTACCATAAGAATTTTTTGTATCATTTACTGGAATAGACTGGTAAAATTTAACACTCAAATTTACTTTCTGTGAGATATTTTATACTTCTGGCTTAGGATCTCTATTCATTAATTTCTATAACAATTAGACACACACATAAAACTTTAACCAGTTTAAGATCAAACCTTTTGATTGACAAATTCCAGGTACTGTTTGTGCAGCTCACGTTTCCGACGGTCCAGTTCAGGCCAATCTTCACCGTCCATCACATCAATGATTTTCTCCCTAAGTGGCTCATACACACGATCATTCCATTTCTTGTGTAACATCTCCCGCTTCCGCAAATCCAGGACCTCCTTGGTGTTTACTTTGTTTTCTAAGTCCTAGAGTGAAATTCACAAACATGACCTTTTATACAAATATTCAAAATTAATTAATTTAATTTGTTACCAACTGATTATTATAGAAAATATAAAAATATTAGCCAAACAGTTCTTCAATTTATGTATTCTGTCAAACTGAAGTTTGGCATCTCCTCATACAATTTTATGCATGTGGACACCCAAAATCTTAAATATAGGTATACAATTTATACACAGCAAAATAAATGCAACTTTCAAATTTCAAATTTTTAATGATCAGAATTCAGTTACCCTGACAAATGTGTTCTCCACTTCCAGGAGAGGATTATACAACTCTCTGGCCTCCTTTGTTTCCATATCTGATCTCTCCTAAAAATATAATGATTCATCAGAAAACCAAAGTGACATGATGAACAGTTATGCTACAGAGTGATGGAACAATGATTATATTTAAGATACAATACACAACAAGATTTGAAGTAAGATACTTCTAAATAGCAATACATTATACAATTCACACACACATATGTGCACAATAATACAACATTATATATTCATACAGAGAATTATATGCATGCAAAAGAAAATATAAAAGCTATTTGAAGTAAAAGGAATACATGTGCATGTTCAATTCTAATCATGCAACTTGTCAAACCTATTAAGAGTACACAGTATGCATTATTATATTTGAAGCTGCCAAACTTAGGCACAGAGATTGTACCATTTCAAAAAAATATTGCAAGTAAATTAAACAAAATCTTCATGATAGACTCATGCAGAAATTAATAGTAGCTTTGGTGTTTGCGGATCACATTAATCCATGCAGCCCATGCGTTTTATTGCATGGTCCCCCTACCTTCATATACGTAGAGTTGACAATCTGAAATTGTATCTAATGAACTCAGAAAGAGAAATATAAGCAAGTCATCTACAGACCAATATAGATAAGAATATCCCTTTTCCAGTACGTTAAGTGATCTTTGCTTAAAGGAAGAGATTTTAAAGAGTATTGCATTGAAATATACTAATTTTTTTAAAAGTGCATTTGAAATGATGGTCAAGAATAAAAGAGAGAAAGGCATCACATTTATGATAGCAACACTTTTATTTTTGTTCCCATTTCAATTCTAATGGGTGTTTACAACTCACAGAAAAGAAAACTGTCTGTTTTTGTTTCTTTTTCTATTTTTTCATACAATATATTACAGTGCAATAAAATTGAATATTATCCATTGAAATATTGATGAAATATCACTAAAGTACATGCAGAGGAGTGCTCTCTTGTGTTGAATTATGTGAAATATAGTTCCTTATTCTACAATAATAAAGCTATATTTTAACAAAAAAGTATAGATTTAGCAGTATAAGCTGAAAATGAGGTGAAGGTACCTGTTGTTCAACCCAGGCCTGGGGTATAGCAAACTGTAAACACAAATAAAATGTTCAACCCCCCAATACAATACAGAACTGTTAAAGTACCAAAGAGTGATAGTCTGGTACATGTGAACATATTTTTTGCTTTAACTGAAAAACTAAATAGTTGCTTTCAATCATTTTTTTCTCATCTTGTCAGATGAATATATTTACTAGCAATAACATGCAATACTAGCATCATTCTTTACTCGCTAATATATACAATACAGAATATATGAGATATTATTTCATTATTTTCATGCCATTTATGATAATGCTCTTTCTTGGCTCAGATAAATTACATGTATTAAATCACTGTAAATTTAAGTCACATATGAGAATCAAACAAGAAATCAAAATAAAGTGGAAAACTCAAAATCACACTTCTGTGTTGTTGTTGTTGTTGATATTTTTTTTCTTTAATGTTTGTTACATGTATTTACCTGCAATCCTCTCACAGTCTTCTCATTCAGCCAATCTTGCACCCGAAGAGTCTGGCCTATTAGACACTTGGAATCTACTTTGCTCTGAATGACAGATGTAGACATTGGTCTTTTTGCTCGTCTTCTTTGTACATCACTTCTATTCATTGTCTGAGTGAAACATGCAAAATATTAACTCTATCACTTCAAGTGAGTTGATTATCTTTCAACAGCAAATATATCACAGCCATGAACAGCTGATTAAAGAGTTGTATAAATGCCCATTTTTGTATGTATAAAAAACCAGAATTGATATATCTTATGAAGCCAGAACTGATTCATGTAAACATAGGTCTATTCTAGTGAATAATTCTATTTCAAATAAAATTAATAATGACCTTATGTACTGTGAAATAGCATTTCAAGATATTCTCTTGAAAACATTATTTATTTTCATTTAAAATGAACATTCAAATAGAATTTCTGGTTTAATTCGGTAATTAATATTGCAGTCTCCTGTCCCAACATCGTTATATTTTAATAAGTGAGCAAAGCTTACCATCGTGGTGATGTGATCTTTACTATCTATCATCAGCTCCTCAACGACATCCGATGAATGAACTTTAACCTTGCCCCCAGGCTGCTTAACACATAGTAACGATGTCATGATTATTCTCCTCACCCCTGAGGGTGAGATTACACAAAACTGGGATCAGACAGCCTGAAATCAATGAAAATGAATTTTACATTGATTCGAGTTTCCTCGCCCTCTCTCCCGCGTCCGCCATATTTCAACAATGTGACGTCACATAGAGATATGCTTATCAAAATAAATATCCTTTTGTCGACTTTTGTCTGATCTTTATCATGTAAAGCTATAGCATCTAGTGATTTTTGCTTATATTTTGAATCGGAAATAATATAACACATGATTTGAGCAGAAATAATAAAACTTAGAAATACACAAACTTCACTTCCTTGGTGATGCATAAAACTTCCGGTAAGGGAGATCACTCCAAATTTTGTTGCAGAAGAAAAAACATCAAAAACGAAAAGATGCTGGTAATGATATTTTCAAAGCCCCTTTTTCTTGAAATCATTTTTAAGGTGGGAAGTGGGGTTATTTCTTGGCTTAGTTATCTGTCCTGTTCTGTCTGGGTTTAAGTTTGCGATGCCACAGAAACTTGAAATTGCCATCATATTGGTATTTGTTCTCTACTGCATATAGGCCCTAGATAATAGGCCTAATGCCCTTTAATCATCTATATAAAGTCAAAACTGTATGGCATTTTTACCTTTATATACATACTTAACTACTATGACAATTTTTTCATAAAACAGCCCTCTTAGATGAAAATTTTTACCACTAAAAAATCAATTTAAAAAAAAAATCAGTGAAATATTGTGTACATTATATGATTGTAGGTACATTCATAGGCTCTTGGACTCAGGATGGTGTATTTTGTGTATTATGTGTTTTTCTAGGTGTGTCTGAATACCCACATTAAAATAAAAATAAAAATTTGCTGAAATTAGCATGTTTTGAAAATGACATTTACTGTATATAAAAGGTAGACAGACTACTCGGCCCAACGACACCTCGGCCCGTGCTGGTTGACACCTCGGTCCTGACAGGTCGGCTCAAAATCATTGACACCTCAGCCCATACCGAAGACTGCTTGGCCCGTTAGGAATAAAATTAAATTTAGTTTGTTTAAATTTAATAGTTTAATTTTTTTTTATTTTCTATGCCACGGTAATGTAATGTACTATGTATATTTAATCACTATACGTATTCTATAAATATACGATAATTTCAATATTTCAGTATTTGTTAACAAATTACAGCACAACATCAAATTACAATCCGTTGATTGGGAGGTACATGTAATAGGTCTACACAGATTAAGTTTATGCCCTGGTTTTCAAGATTTATTGATTTAAATTGTTTATTTTATATATATATATTTTACTGCTTAATTTTAAAAACTCATAGGCCTACTTTTTTCAAATCAATTTAATAAAATATCAACAAGGGTTTCTTAAAGAAACTTTTCATTAACATGAGTAAGTCTCCCAATTATGGCTTCTCGTACTTGACTCCTCAAAGTCACCACCCCATATGACACGCGCTCGAGACTCCAAAAGAATGCACCGCGTCTTCTTGTTTGTTTAATGATTAGCACTTATGATCAAGTTACTAATGGATTGTCTTTATTTAATTACCGTCAATTTTCCGTCTTGGAAGATTGCAAATGTATCAAATTAATTTTCTTTTGCATTTCATAGATATACATGTATAACAGCATAAATAATAAATATATTTAACTAAAATATTATATTTCTGTTTGGGCCGAGGTGTCTTTTATGTGAGCCGAGGTGTCTGCAAATTTGGGCCGAGCCGTCGGAGCCGAGGTGTCAATGGGCCGAGGTATCGTTGGGCCGAGGTGTCGTTGGGCCGAGCAGTCTGACATTCATATAAAAAGAGGAAAGGAGCTCCACTCGCCATCTTGGATTTCAGGGATGCCTCAGTTCACACTTGATTTAAATCAAATATCTACTTTTTTTCCTACTGGTGTTGGGTGAGATCTAGCTTCAAAAATGACTGAATAATGCTTTTCAAACGTCTGTCGATTTGAACTTGCTGTATAAAACATGTAGTAAACACTAAACGTCCTCAATGCCGAGCACTGAAATCGAAAGCAGTAAAGTGCCGATTTCTATCGATGAAAAATGTAGAGGCATCCTGGGATTACATGGAAAATCTAGAGAGGTCAGAAACCGCGCCAAACTTTAATTTAAAACACAAAATTTAATTGATCGCAATATTTTCCAAATTTCTATGAAAAATGCTTTTAATTGTGGAGATTAAGAGCACTCAATACCTTATATGATATTACATTCAGTGATATTCTACCTAAAATGTAATTGATACAAAAAAATGTAATGATCCTCAAAGTGCGTTTGTACCTTTTATAATATTTTATTATAATATATGCATAATTGACATAGATTGTAATTTAAAATACATGTAACAAAATGTTAACATGATTCAAGAACATCTTCGCTAGCCAAGGGTTTCTGAAACGCTACTCTCCTCATAAACCCTTGGTCTACGGTGTTCATAAAATTCGGGATTTTTTCCCAGAGTTCTGATTGGATTTCAGTTCACACCTGTCGACCAATCATCAATTGTTTTTTGTAAATGACGATATTTGCATTCGGGATCTTCTTGACTCTTTAATCTCGGAATTGAAAAACGCAAGTAAACAACGATCCGTAAGATAACATGCAATTCTATAAAAAGCTATGGTGTCATCCAATATCTTCTAAATATGTGATTAAGAATCTACATTGAAGCTTGTGATTTGTACTATAAATAATAAATAAACATTACTCAATTATTGCTTCTAAATTATTCTTGAAAAAACTTTAATTCAATTTTTTTTAATCATGCGTCTTTATTTCTGTCGATGACGCAATCTGTGCATACCTGATAGATTCAAGATCACGTGACGAAAACAATCGTGTCTTTTTACTGCACCGTATGCCAAGGGTTTATGAGGAGAGTAGCGTATCAGAAACCCTTGGCTAGCGAAGATGGATTCAAGAAGTGCATTATTACATTTTGTGTGATCATATTTGGCATTGATCTTGACACAAAATGTTATAATTTCAGTTAATTGTATTTTGGGTTTTAATACAGTACTTTAATAAAAACCACAAATACATGTATATTAGATGAGGTTTTAATGATGCAGCCAAAATACTCAATCAAGAGAGAGAGGGAGGGAGAGAGAAGGGGTAAATTCACAGGCCAGAGATAGTGATGTCACGCATGAATGTTTACAATCACTGTGAATCTCAGAGACTGTTGGGGGGGGATTCATGGGGATGATAAAGTTAAAATTCTTTTTATGTATAAATATATATATGTACATGTGTTGATCATTTTTGGCAGAAATTGGTCAGCTTTAAACTTTTTCCATGCAAGTTACACAGGACTTTTCTAAATACACTATGATTTTTGACCCCATGACTTTGACCTTGAATTTGCCCTACTTTAATTTATGAAATGTTTTAAAACATTCAATACTTTGAATTGGCCATAACTTTTGAATGAGAAGAGATAGCGCTTTCATATTAAACACATGTATTATTTGTGACAAGACCTTTCTAAATAGACTATGATTTCCTCATGACCTTGAAGTTTGACCTATTTTTCAAACACTTCAACCTTGGTCATGATGTTTGAATGAGAAAACATAGGGCTAATATTTAAACTTTGTATTGCTTATGACAAGAGCTTTCTACGTACACTGTGATTTTTTATCTTGTGACCTTGACCTTGAAGTTTGACCTACTTTTCAAAATTGTTAATTTTTCCTTATAACTTTTGATTGAGAAGTGATTGGGCTTTCATATTTGACATGTGCATTACCTCTGACAAGATATTTCTGAGAATGCTATGAATCCTGACCTCTTGACCTTGACCTTCACAATTTACCTAATTTTCATTTTTTTAAAAAATCATCTTCAGTGATAACTTCTGAATGACATATGATAGGCATGCATATTTGACATAATATGCCATGACATCTCATACACAGAAGTGGTGGACCACAGTTCTTTAAATTTGCTTGTTAAATCCCTTTTTTTTTTTTATTTGCAGATTACTTATTTGTGATCATAAGGATTTTAATTCATCTTCATTTAATCAATTTATTTTAATCCAAAAAATGTTTTTTAAAAAAAATGAAGGACTCTTTATTTACATGATAGATATTCTTCTTGCAGATCTGCCGTACGTATGTCAATATTACTTATTTTCAAAACAAATTAATGAATATACAAATCTATATAGTACACTCTCCTTCTCAGATTTAGAACTGAAATTGACTTAAAATGTTTTTTGTTTATAATTGGGCATGATTTACAAATACTTACATAAATTAAGTATTGAATTTCCTAAGTTTTAGACAATAACAATGCTGATGTGTGATAATTGTAGACACTTACTTCAGAGATAAATCAGTATTCCAGCAAACACATACACCCTATTGTCCCATTCCTACATAGTAACATGGCCACCACTTAAAATGATTTAATCTGTACACATTGTATTGCTTGATTAGAATGTATAGAAGATAATGTTTAAATGTTTCTTTTGAGTGTCTCCAGCCTTGTGCTTGAGAGGGGGGATTATTGGCAGATTAATAATAAACCGTCCACACTTCGACGTCACCCACACAATGTGATCGTAAAGATGCACACAACTGATGCGTTTCCAAATCAATGCTACTCATCATTAATTTTTGTTGTTGTCTATCCGTGGGGTAATTTAAATATGACCGGGTGTTAAGGGGGTTTTAGTGTAATTTAAGAATTGATGATGTTGAAGGTATGGAAGTTCAATATGAAAGTGTAAGATATTTTTGTTCATTTTAATTAAGGTAGTGTAGTCATTTATTTCATGAAAAAATGTAGAATTTTATAAATTTCAATAGTACGTACTATTTGATTGTTCTATGCTTTTTAATGGGTAATTAGTATTTAACAGTTAAGTCCTTTTATAAAGGAATTTTCAAAATAAAAAAGTATGACAGCATTTTAATTTTTTTTTTCTTTTTCTGTTTTCTTGTAGTCAAGTTAAAATATTCAAAGAATCTACAAATGTTTTTTGAATCAATTAAAATCTGTTTTTTAAGAACAGAAAATAATTATTCATTTTTCAAACGAAATACAATATTTACATGTATCAAATAATTAAATCAATTGAATTGAAGAAGGTTGAATTAATATTTTATTAA